CTTTATGCTGAAGCGTCCCTGTTGCTAGGAGCTCAGGCTTTTCTCAGGGGCCTGGAACCCAGACAACAGTGCTTCTTCCCGAAGGACGCCCTCGGGCCACAGCCCCTGCAGCAGGCGGACACCGGCTCTCGGACCAGCGCCCGCACAGACCGGGCGGCTCGGGGGCCCAGGCCAGCACTGTTGTCACACCGAGAGGCTGCGGCAGGGGGCCAAGAGGCCCAGCTGTCATGCTGGGAGGGGGTCCCGGTTTCTTCCCCAAGAATCAGCCCCAGCCCTGGCTGATTTGGTTCAGCGGACTGAGGGGTCCCGGGTTCGAATCTAGTCAGGGGCATGTGCCTTGGTTGCAGGCACGTCCCCCGTTGGGGGTGTGCAGGAGGCGGCTGATCGATGTTTCTAACTCTCTGTCTCTCTCCCTTCCTCTCTGTGAAAAATCAATAAAATATATTCTTTAAAAAATCAGCCCCAGCCCCGCCCTCCTGGCCCCTCCCCAGGCTGCCTCCCAGGGACTCCTGGCTCGCTGCCCGCCTGCCCCAAGCAGGTCCTGGGTCAGCTCCTCCGAGGCCCAGAGGCACCCGTTGACGTCACTGAGGACAGGAGCCAGGCCACCACCTGTGAAGTGGGCAGTGACACCCGCTTTGCATTGGGGTTGAGAGCCCAACGAGGTGCCCACGGAGCCCTGGGGGTGGCGGCCACTGTGTGGAAAGGAGCCAGTGGGCCGCACCTCCTCCCAAGGAGCCCCTTATGTCTTCCCTTATGTCGGGCCAGTGTGTCCCCGAAATCCTAGCCCAGCAGAGCCTGCCCTTTCAGGCAGCAAGCAGACACCAGGCGGGGCCTTGCGAGGCCTCAGAGGCCCAGCTCCAGGCTGCAAGCTCTGGGCGCCCCGCGGGGTCCTGGAGCTGCAGCTCAGCTCAGCTCAGCCCTGGCCCGCCCTCCCGCCTCGCCCTGCCTGGGGCCAGCACCACGCCCTGGGAACTTGCCATGCAGTGGCTCCTGCAGCTTCCCCCAGCACCTTGTATGGCTGTGCATGTATGCGGTGTGCATACACGTGTGTTCCATGTACGTGTGTGAATGCACACACGTGTGCTGTGTGCATATGAGTGCCGTGTGCGTGTGTTTGAAATGATGTGCATATATGTAGTGTGTGCATGTGTGTGTGTGTGACAGTGAGGGACACACATCCTCTGCTAGGGCACCCTCCTGGCCTGTGGATGGGCAAGGGGCCCGGTGGTGGAGGGCTGGGGGCTGGCAGGGCTGCCTGGCGGCTGCGAGGTGTCCTGGGAATGAGGCCCAGAAGGAAGCCAGCGGAGCAGCGATGGTGTGGCCCTAGCAACGCCGCACAAAGCACTGGCCTACTTACTCCCGCCCGCCCCGCCCTTCCCTGCCCGCCAGGGGGGAGGGGATGTGTGGAGGGGTGCAGGGCCTTAGGTTTCTGGAGGCTGAGCCCGTCCCTGGCCCTGGAAGTCCTGGCCTCCTGGTCCCTCCCTAACCGTGGGTGCCGGGCGGCCTCGGAGCCTGTTCCTCTCCCACCACTGAGGGTGGGCGCTCTGCCCTGTGGGTTCGCTCCCTGTGCTCCCCGTCCTCCGGGGGCTGTGGACCCAGTGGTTGTGAAAGGGCTGCGGGTTTCCAGCCCCGGAAATCTTGGGGTTCTCTGTGCTGCTGGGGTGACCACAAGCCTCGGAAGTCTCTGTGACCCGCACCAAAGGCCTGAGACCAAGGCCCCCACGTCAGGGCAGAGTCTGGGGTGAGGGGGTGGCGGGAGCACTGAGGACAGAGCACTGAGGACAAGGCCCAGGGGAGGGCGCCCTTTACGCGCTGACACCCTCTTAGCCAGTCAGCCCTGTGGTGCGGGTGGGGGGTGGGGGGGTGGCTGGCAGCACCACTCACCTGGCCTGACTCTGGGAGCCAGCTCTGAGCTGGCCACCGACTCCTGCAGGAAGCCTGCCTGGCCTACAGCCACTACTGTCACAGCGGTGGGCACGGGGACAAGTGTCTCCAGTGCCCAGGGCGGCTGAGCAAGCCACCAGGGGAGAAGTGGGGCGTTTGCGGGGACCTGTGAGGTCCACCCTGGGCCATCCCGACCCGCAGGGTCTCGCAGGGTCATCGCGGGTGCCGGGTGGCCCCTGAGGGCTGGCTGAGGGCCCGCAGGGCTGTGAGGGCGCTTTGTGGAGCACCGGACAGGAAGCCTGGGCCCCGGTGGGTGTCACCGGACACCATGCTTCGAAAACCAAATGTTTTCCTGACCTCGCCCGGGAGCCAGGCTGCTGTCACCCCAGGCCTGGGCTCCTGCTGGCCGCAGTCCTCACAGGGGCAGACTGCGGGTGTCCGGGAG